GAGATAGTGGGCCATTAATCCGTCTTGACCATGCGCCGCTCCTTGGCAGGACCCTTCTCCTGTGGCTGGTCGCTCTCCGTCAAGCGACGTTTTGGGGAGGAACCTGCCTCAGGCAAGGTTGGCTGGACCCCCGGGGCGCGCCAGTCAATATGGGTTTGGCGTAATGCCTCCTCCAGTGCAGATGCCCCTGTGTAGCCACGGCGGATGAGAGAGGCCATCTTGGAGCGTGTGTTGATGTCATTCCTCTCCAACCACAGCAAGCTGCCCTGCCCGAACTCCATGGTGAATTGCAGGGCTTGATCTGCATATGACATAGCTGGGGCAAGGGGCATGAAGACCTTCTCATTGCCATCGAAGTCTGACACCTTGTACAAACCTCCCCACGCCCAGGCATAGGCCAGAGTGCGTAGTGAAAAGTAGTACTCCACCACGGTGCGAGCGATACGATGGTCGTCGGCTGCGAACTCAAGCTGAACGCCCGCACCCAGGCGGACTGATTCTTGTTGCTTGGGCGCCGACTGGTGGAGGATAGATCGGACCTTTGCCACACTGATGACCGACATCGTCCTCTTGCGGAATTCCCTATAGACACGGGACCGAAGGGCGTCTGATGGTTCCAAGAACGCATCCAACACCACGCCATACTTGGTGGCAAAGTCCTTGTGAAGTTGTTGCATTGTCGATTCGGGGAGTGTCTCATCCACCGCCTCTGGCTGTTTTGCTTCTGCAGCGGCTGCACGAATGGCCTCCAGGCCAGCTGCATGGGCTGCTTTAAGCCGCGCCCGCAACAACCTGTTGTCCTTCATCTTGGTGGGCTGTAGTACCTGATCCAATGATGTTTCCATGGAAGACTCATTGAAGTAGTAGACAAAATCTTCCAAGGTTTCCCACTTGTGGATATGGACTAGCTCACTCTTCCACTCCTCCAGGATGTTGGCCCCAGCGAAGCATGTTGTCAATCCACGGTCATCCTGATACGTATCAATGCGCCTTGAACTGCTCATGGTCGTAGGGCCACCACAAACGAAAGCTTGAGTGATCTAGCTACGATCCCTGTGAGCCCGGAGCTGGGTTGCGATAAAGCAAACTCCCAGGGGGAGGTCGCGGACCTACCACCCTGCCCATCCGAACGAATGACCACGCCCCGACGCCCTCCACATTCCGGTGGCATCCACGGGGAGGCCAAGCCAGGTCACGGACCGAAGGTGCCCCCCTTCAAGCCAACCCCAAGGGGGGAAAAGAAAGGGGGTAGGGGACCCAACCGAAAAGCGACCGACTGGGAACAAACGACGTCGGAACGGTCGGTGACCGAAGTCAAAACCGAACCCCACCTAGACGCACGTCGACCCCGACCCCGCACCCCCACAGGGCTCTGGCCCCTCGGCTTTTTATACACTCAGTGCAACCATCCGCACTGGTCAGCCAGGGAGGCATAGAGGCCTCGTGGCATGCGTGCCAGGCATCGCTGGCAAAACTGGCTCCGAACAACCAATCCGAAGCCCTCGCCCTGGCTCTTGGGGTCTTGGGCGAAAGGTGAATCCCGGCAATACGGCAGCTGACGATGTGAACTCGACGGCTTTGGACGAACCACTTGGCTTCTGTGATAGCCGCCTCTTCTGCCAGGACGCCCTCCAAGTCGCTGCCCATAGCCGAACAGTCCGACGCGGACGAGGAGGTAGTAGACGAAGAAACCGACTGGGCCGTCGGATCAGCTTCCACCACCGGGGGTGTGACGTTGTCTACCTCCTCGTCTTAACCTCGTCTGCTGGGCCTGCCACAGGCAAGGCACTCCCCGAGGCTTCCAAGGGCGGTGTCTCTGATGGGGGCTGGACCTCAGGCGTCATCAATGCTGCCTCCAACGGTCCAAAGCTCTCGTTCATCTGGGCCAACTCTGGCCAGGTCCAGGCATCACGGGCCACGAGACATCTGCATTGAGGGCCAGTTCCGGGAGCTTGCGCCGAAGTAGGTGGAGGAACCTCTGAATCAACGCCCGTTTGACTGCTGCGGAATGCAAAACCTTCTGTCCAGCGTAGTGAAGGCCCATCGACCATACTGCTTTGCTCTTACGAACTGGTTCGGGGCCTCTTACGAACTGGTTCGGGGCCTCCGGCACTGGGGACCTCCTGCCAGTTTCCAATGGCCTGCTGGTTTGATGGCTGCAAGCCACACACCAGGCCCATGGTTGGCAGGAAACGGCGCAGCCTATTGTAGCCAGCCCCCCGGGCCTGGGCATGATCCACCTGCCGCCTCGAAGGAGTTCCAGGAAGCGACCCCGCGACATCTTCCTGTTCACCAGCCATGCCGTGCCCTCGGTGACCTCCCAGAGATCATCCGAGCTGAGTTGGAGGGCCGGCCACAGGAAATTCAACTGGGGGTAAGTTACATTCACGGCATTTGGGTCCAAATTCATGGCTTTTGGGCCTGGAACTGCTTCAACTGCTCCACTACCACTAGTATCATTTGGACAAAGCTCCACTACCAAACATGTAAAGCTGCAGCAGCAAAAGTGATACCATGTGATACCACAGCAGTTTATTTTGCTAGCTAAAACTGCTGATGATGGCAAAGCTGCTATGCAGCATAGTGAGGCAGTCACTAGTGATGGCAAAGCTGGTGCAACTAAATGTATTTATGTTTTTTGAACTCACCCACTCATTGTTTTGAGAAGGGTCATCAAGGGTCTAGAAGCTAAAGCCTAATCATGGTTCCTGCTGGATGTGGTAGTGCTTTGTGTGGACTAGATATGGGCTAGACATACCTAAGACCTGTTGTGTAAAACCAAAACTACACTGTTGCATTTTTGGCCCACCCGCCGTGGGAAAACCCGCCCGCGTCTGAACGGCAGTCACCTCAGACAGAAGCAGAGGCAATGCCAACAGCCGGAAAGATGCGCAGTCACACTTTTCGTGGCAGGATGCTGTATATATATATATATGTAGATGGAATGGCATAAGTTCCTTATACATATATATATATATATTTAACTGAATCACAAGACCTTTCATTCCTCCAAAGATTCCAGACAAATCTCTTTGGACATTGGGAAAGAAAACTTGGTCCAAAGACACTTTGAGGCACTCACATGTTGCAGTGCGAGCTTTTGATGAAGAGGCTCGCATGGATCCGGGACCTGAGGACTGAGGATGAAGGAAAAAATACTGTATGTGTTTTTTACTCTCAGACATGTTTGATTTGTAAAACTGGACTTCCACCTGCACAACCAGATGTGGAACTTCTTGTTACACAAAAGTAAATGCCTTAAATCTTAAGCAATCTTAAGCACACATATGTACTGCACACAGTATGCCGCGCACATCCATTTTTCCCAAGAACCCCAACACTTCAAATACTTCAGAGGATTGGTCGGATCACCCATCGGATCCAAAAATACCCTGTGGCCTTGCCATCTCACGAAAAAGCACAACTTACAACAAAAGGAGTTCAATCCATTTGAATATAGCTGAAACACACAACAACATCATTTCATCATTTCACACAAGACCATCCTTTCATTTCTGGACATTTCCTCTGGTAGCCAGCAGCGAAGCGCGCAAATTGCTATTCATCCAAGCATCCATTGCCGCTTGCCGGCGTTCATTCGACTTTTTCATAGTCGAATTCTCAATCCAATGGCGAATGAAATCGTGGCGAGCCTGGCTTAAATCATTGGTGTTTCCACCAGGAGCAGGTTCTGCTGCAACAACTGCTGCAGCTTCAGATTCTGCCGGAACACGCGGGACACCTTTGGACACCCACTTGGCATGCCACGCAGCACTGTTGGCACGATGCTTTGCAACTTGCGCTTCAGTTTTCATGGGAGCAGGTGCCTTGCGCCTCTGGCTCTTGGCACTGCTTCCAGCCGCAACAGGACCCGCCTCTCCTAACACATTGGAAGAAGCAAGCCGGGCCAAGCGAGGGATTGGCGCAGCCTGCTCCAATTGAGAGTCTTCCTCAACCAGTTCAGATGGAGGTTCAGCCTTTGGGTCAGCCTTTGGTTGCTCCAAAGGCTTCTCCAGAATCATTGACTCAGCCTTTGGCTGCTCCACCTTTGGTTTGTCCAGAACCATTGACTCAATTGACTCCTCAGCCTTTGGCACCATCATTGACTCATCCAAACCAAAGAGCGCTTCCTCTTCAGGTGGCACCATCAGCTCAGGAATCGGCTCAGCAGGAATTGGCTCAGCAGGAATCGGCTCAGCAGGAATCAGCTCATCAAAGAGGAGCCTCCTTTTGGGATACTCAGCTGCCTTCATCTCCCTCAATGTTTGCGGGTCCAATCCATCCAAATCTTCTTGTGAGCACTGCGAATCGTCATTCCTCACAAGGGATCACTCACAAAGGTCACAAGTTAAATTCAACAAAAACCAACCCACAAAACCGACTGTGCAGAACCATTAAACAATTCCGAGGATCTGAAACCAGGGTTCAGGAGGTTCCACAGGCTTGGCTGATGCCCCAGAACTAGGACCCCAGCTTGAAAGGAACATGGTCTTCGCTGCAGGTCTGGGCCCATCTTGGATGAACAGTGGAACCTTGGGCTTTGGGTGTTCAGCCTTGGCAGCCTTCGAACCACCAAGAAGGCAGTGCGCAAAAGCTGGGTTGACCTCATAATCCATCAGGTCATCATCCACAACAACTTGGGTTCCAAATGAAACCATTGTCGATGCACTTGGCTGCTAACAGAAGAACGCGCGTCCAGAACCAAAACGAGCTATATATATAGATCATATCACATCTGTGTGCAAACAGACCAGTAAAATCCAATGTGCAAAAAATAGAGTGCATCACAACATAATAACAAGAAACTTACAGAGTGCTCAAGACCGTGTTTTTGTCACATCAAGCACACACACACTGCTTCAAAGGCCTCCTGTACATGTTTGCGCGCACACCCACACACTACATCAGAGTGTGAAAACCTCTCTTTGCTTGCGCAACAAAAGTACAATGCCTACTCTCGGAAATGGTCAAAAGTTGGACTTGGACATCCCCCTCACAGCTCACAGGAGCCTTTGGACAGCACCTTTGGTCAAGCGAAGATCTGCTGGCAGAAACCACAATGGCTTCGCTGCCGCCAAGCACTTTTCCATAGGATAGAAGCGCACACGCCAAACCTCAAGCTAAGCACACCAAAACTTGTATTTTACACCAGATGTCATTTAAACAAAACATTTAAACAAAACTTGAGGTCATACATCCATGCAAGAAGCCATGTACAAAGGGCTGTGCTCCAAGGATTGAGCCGTGAACTGCGATGCTAGGTTGGCTGCTTTCACGTTTTTGGAAGGCACATTGTGCGGTCGCCACAGCAAGGTGCTGGAAGTGTCTGGACCAATCTCAAAGTGATCATCTGCTTTGCCTTGCTGAACTGAGGAAGGTCTTTGGCAAGTATGCCCTCCCAGTGTAAAATCAACGTGTCCAGCAGCCTCGATCTTCTGAATTGCACTTCGTAGAGTGAGCAGCCCAGAATCAGAATTCCCCTCCTGGAATGAAACTCAAGAGTCACACTCGCAAGGCAACTACTACCAAATGGAATGCAATCTCCCAATGGTAACTATCCCATTACCACAATGTTGAATATCATACGAAATGTTTAATATAGGTTTCAATTTAAATTTCAATGTTGAAAACCAATGTTTGGAAAACAATGTTCGGAAAACCAAATCCTCAAGGATGACCTGGTGCGAGTCACTGACAAATGCGCAAACAAAGCCGCGGTCTGGTGCACTCTCCAAGCTCTTCTTGGCCTTGTCCCCAACAAGCCATGCCCCTGCTCCATGTGTGAGGATGGGCGCACTGGTGGCCGTCAAATGTAGTGCATCAGTAGCTGCAATGTACAGCTTGGATCCTGCCATGACAAACTGATATGCCGGACCTCCAGGGATCTCTACACAATCACTCACTTTGCTCTTCAAGGCCTCGAGTGTCTCAGGCTCATTCTTGAAGGTAACAGCCCAGTCAAAGTTGGGCTCCATCTTGGCATCCTCGTCCTCCTTCTTCTGAGGATGTGAAGATGGCTTTGGCGGGCTTGGTGTTGCACCTGGAGTAGCAGGCGAGGTCTCCTGCCCTGACCATTGCTTGTCAAACTGCTTCACAATGTCTCGCCATTCTGGGCCCCACACTGCATCTGACATCCACTGCGACCTAATGTCTGCAGGAAGTGTGAACTTCCCGTCTGCGCTCAACTGGCAGATGCGGAACTGTGGTTTTTCATTGACCCTTGGTAGGTCTTCAGGGCAAATCTCCTTCCGATACTTGGGTGTAGTGCGATCCATAGGTGGCTGGCCGCTTCTCCACGCCTGCCCGCATCAAGAGGGCCCCAATGTGTTATAAATGGTTGTGATGAAACCAAATACATATCAAAAAGAACCAAGAAGCAAAAGGATGCAACACACAATTTGGGCCATCACAGGCCTGCATGAGGTGATTCTTCACAATTTGCTTGGAAGTCTTGTGGTATGCCTCGTTGCTGGTGAATCCAACACACTCGTAACCCAGCTGCATCGCTGCAAGCTCCACTGTCCCATCATACGTGGTAGGGTTCAGAATCATCACACAATGATTGCCTTTGATATGTCCTTAGAATATGTTGGAACTCAATGCTGCAAAGTTAAATTGCTTTTATATCCTTTTATATTGTTTTATATGGTATATATAAAGAGATGGGAAGTATAAAAGAGACGAAAGTAGAAACATGCACAGTAACCATTCCCACACAGAAGAATGCAATTGTCCCACAATGAAAAACCTTGTGCAGTAATTTAAGCCCAGGTGCCAAATAGCTGCTTCAATATGGCCACAGGGATGTTGACACCCCCCAGCCACTGGGCTGTCTCTTGCAGATCTGTCAGGTTCCGGCGGCAATCGTGAGACAATACGAGGTCGTTGGAAGGAATGACGAAATCCTTCTCATTCAGTGCTGGCGGGAACATGTCTGTAGGCAGGGACTGCTTCAGCCACAAAGGACTCCCACAGAACCTTGGACGATCTTGGACACGTTCCAAACTTAAAATCAAAAGCTTTGTCCCCCCACCATTGTCCCAAAACTAAAACCAATTTAAAGACACGAAGGCTATGTGGGACTAGGCACACGTTCACACCTGCAGCGGAATCAATCTCTGCACTTCCACCCCGTACAGCTCGGTGTGCAGTTCCACGCGACGGTAGTGTGATGTCCAGGACACCAAGCCAGCAAACGAAAGCTGATGGCAAATCTCTGTTTTTGTGGACCTCATCCAAACTGATGTTGAGGGTGAAGGCCCTCAAATCCACTTTGTTTGCGAGGAGTTTGTCTTCGAGCCTCCTGGGTCATAACTAAAGTTGAACCCACAGTATCAGAGTTGAAACTAATTCAACAAACAACCATCACAAACAAAGCAAACTTTAGTCCCTCCTGTTGACTGCTCTGAGGGATCCAGCTGCATCGCTCCCCACCAAAAGCGGAGGAATCAACACAAGCACCGAGCGAGCAGGATTCCGGGACAAGTGCTTCTCCGCAAGGTCGCCGATGGTGTTTATTTCTTGCTGCTGAAGCACCCCCAACTTCGTACAGTCCACATAGAGCACTGTGTGGATCTGATTCACATCCACCTGGGCAAGGCCAAAATGATAAAGAGCACCAATGGGTACAAAGAAACATCACCCCAAAACATACAAACAAACAAAAAAGCAACACGCTTGAAAAAGGTCCAGCCTTGTTGGTAGCTGCAGCCTGCCGGAAAGAGGTGTCCAGCTTCACATCAGCAAAGGACTTGTCGATTGCCAAGGAGATACGGCAAAACTTCTCCATGTGACCCTCGCAGAGCCTGGGCATGATTTTAACTTATAATTGTTCATTTTCAATGGCCCCATCAATATCTCCTAGCACCTTGCCAAATAAAAACATGCCTTAGAACAAACCAAGAAACTCCTTGCCAACCTCAACTTGACCTCGCTCGTGCATCACTTGTACAACATGTAACCTCCTGTTGTGCTCCTCCACCGATGCGTTGTACTGGCACATGTTAGCAATGTCTTGAGCCACCAGGGCTCGGATCTCTCGGAACTTTGCAGCATTGGCTTGGTCTTCCAGCAGCATGAGATCTGCAGCAGATGGAACATCCAAAGTACCTGTTGCAGGCGGGCATACCTGATCCACCCACAAGCCCAAATGTTGAACCTTCCATGTAGAGAGCTTTGCCGTGACAACCGCTTCAATGTCCTGGTAGTAATCCCTAAGATGTGTCAACCATGAAAGGGTGAATAAAACTGCAACCAATGACATATAACATCAAATGAAAAACAAAAAA